CACAGGAAACAGAGAGGTGGGACTGAACAGGTTATAAAAAGCCTAGCAAGCCCCTTCCTCAGCCCTTCTCTTCTTCTCATTGAAGCATGTGATCACCTTTTCTGTTCAGGGCTCAAGCCATGTGGCCCTGTCCAACAATACACCATCTTTCCTAGCAGCCTCCGTGTCTCCAGTGTCTTTTTCCCCACTCAGAACTGAACCCAGAAGGACATTTCTTTCATTAATGTGTTGTCTGGAAAATTTCTATCTTGGCGGTCATTGAGAATAGCAATCCCTCGCCAGTATTAAATGTTAATCAGTTAAGAAGCTGCTTAGAATGCAGCTTTGAAACCTGTAATCAAATAAGCTTTCATTGTAGGGTTTGAAGCAACATATTGCAAATAAGGGGGGACAGGACAGTTGTGAGCTTTTCTTTCTTCATCTGTAAAAGTTTTTGTATCCCTTTGAAAATGGGAAATGTTTATATTGTTTGTACCACCCGTCTATTTTTAACTCTTGCTTCCTAGTATATTTGCTCTTGTAAAAGGAGGAACTTTTTCCTAGAGTTCTAATTTTTAGAATTGCTTGGGTATTCCAGCAAAGCTTGTTTTTCATAGTCCATCATAGTCAAGCTGCGGGACTACAGCCGAAAGAGGCTTTTCTAAAGACTCCTATTGAGCTGGGCAGAGCCCAAGCTTTGACTTTACATTTTCATGATCAATATGCTGTCAGTTGCAGAAGCTAGAACATGCTGTTTAACCTGGTTTCTCCTTTCTATTCAATAGCCACACCATTGCTCTATAATGCACCTAATTTCAGAGAAAAGCTCTGTTTATTTTGAAGATCACTTTTAGCTTTGTTATCTAAAGAGGGATTGACATTTGGGTTGAAAGACACCGTCCCTTTGTGGATGCTATGCATTGTTAGAAAGATGGGTCACAAAGCCACACATGTGAGTGTAGCTCCTTGAAAAGGCTAAGCAACGTGGAGCTCCTCCCCATCACACGTGCCGCCCTGGAAAAATATGAGGCACGTGTGTCTGGCTTGAAAGCACTATTTGCATTAATGAATGACGAGGAGGATTGCCTGCAGGAGCTGGGCAGAAAGCTGTTTGACTGCTTCAGAGTCTATATAAGACAGCAGCTTCACTCTTGTTTAACTCTTTCTTTTCTGACCTCTTTTTTCTTTTAAGCTTTCTTGTTTTGCCTTGTTGTGCTGTATTTTATTCTGGAGTTGGTTACAGATCTGTTGCTTCACTGCAACAGATTTATTTTTATATTTATAAATATTTCTTATTTATAAATATTTCTTTATTTATTTATCAGCACAAATACAACAAATGTAACAAAGGCAACAGTAAAAATATTGGGTTTCTGTCGTGATGGACTCTTGTGACGAGCCGATAATGGAAGCAGTTAGCTTCCTCCCATAATTGGGGCATACCAGGGGTTGTGA